TGTATGCTGGGGACTACTACGTACTTTGTGTGCATTATCTCCTACAATCCTTATCACCACCTCATGCCTACAACATATGCCAACAGTAAGTGTATTGGGCTGGCTCCAGAATCCATGCTTGCACCATACCTCCCAGGTCCATACTATGGAAAGAACAGCTAACTTGTGCTCATTTTTATTTTTTTTATATTCAAAGAGTGGGGGAAAAAAACAACTTTCTTGCTCTTTCAATTCCAAACTAATTTAATACATACAGTAGAAAATGTAGCTATATATAATAAAATGTCAAAAGCATCAATATGGGCCGGACACTGTGACTCATGCCTATAATCCCAGCACTTTGGGAGGCCAAGGCAGGTGGGTCACCTGAGGTCAGGAGTTGGAGACCAGCCTGGCCAACATGGTGAAACCCCATGTCTACTAAAAATACAAAAATTAGCTCGGCATGGTGGTGGGCACCTGTAATCCCAGCTACTCAGGTGGCTGAGGCAGGAGAATCGCTTGAACCTGGGAGGCGGAGGTTGCAGTGACCTGAGATTATGCCACTGGACTCTAGCCTGGGCAGAAAGAGTGAAACTGTCTCAAAACAAAAACAAAACAAAAAAACCATCAATATGAAAAAAATAGTAATCAATTTTAACCTCTGGCATGTTTTACTGCTTAGTCTCAACAGCACCACACTTAATCAGTTGTTAAACAGCTGAAGATCTGACATTTTACAATTATTCTTCCACAATACCAGTTACCCTATTACAGGGCCAAAGGTGAACTGCCGAAGAAATCAGAAGTTTAGCAGTTTGATTTATTAAATCATACTGAGAAGTTAGCATGTGGATTCTTTTACGCTTTAAAACTATCCAAATTCTAACCAGGACTTATATTTCATATTTGTAAATAATTTTAGAAGCTTCAGTGAATTAAGTTATATTATTTATCAAAACAATCCAGAATAAACGTCTTAAAAAAACTTAATGTTTAAAAAATACATTTTAAAATTAAAATGTCGAAAATCTGACTTTACTATGAAATGTTGAGCCTTTGTTCATTGCCTTCCCGTAATGCACTTCCCTTAAGATGTTTAAAGTTAGGTGAGAAAAGAAGCAATACTTTGTAATATACAGGGAAATTGGCAGCCATTCTTTTTCAGGGCACTATAATCATTGTCAAGTTCTATTTATCTTCTGTAACTGAAGATATTGACTGAAAAAATAAATTACCATTCCTCTCAGACTGACTTTTATTCAAGCAGCTGCTTTTCTCATCTGCTGGAATGTAGCAGAAAAGTGGTTATCTTAGGACTCTTTATTCTTCCACTGTTACATTGTCAGCTAAAGGGAAGGGGAGAGCAGACCTCGAGGTCACGTTCGAAGTGAACAGCTGGGAGCTGAGGAAACTGACGTCCACAGCTCCAGCATGGCTTCGCGTTAACACCTGCAGCAGGCCGAGCCTTTCTCACACAGAGGAGTCAACAAATCCATCAGATCTCTGTAATAGAAGGGCCAAGACTAAACACTCTTGCCTTGACTCCAAATAGACAATTCCATTTAAAATGAAAAGCGATAGGAACCAGATTCAGAATCGCTTCCCGCCTTGCCCAAGGCCGTCTTCCAGAACCAGGGTTCCGACCTCCCCACTTTCCTGACTCTGGGGTCCGCCTCTCGAAGATCTCGAGCAAGGGGAACATAATATTGGAGGGGGAAGATGAGCAGCAGACCGGCCCATGGAACCGAAGAAAAATCCAGGAAAAAACAAAACAAAACAAAAAACAAAACACTCCCCAAAGGACCAGATACTACCAGACCTGCCCTGAAGAGCCAATACATTTCCACCACTCGGCTGCGAAAGCAACAAACGCCTCCCGTCCGGGCGTCCCTGAAAACAAGGCCGCGCTCACCTCGAAGGGTAAACCCAGCCGCCCCCCAACGCCTCCTTCCCGTCAGGGAACGCAGCCCCAGAGACCCGGTAACCCCGGCCGCGTATCCAGGGTCTGCAGATGACGTCAGCAGCCCCGCGCTAGCATCGCGAGACTCCGCCTCCCTCTCCCTGCTCCCCGCGCTCCCAACCGCCCGCGCTCGCTGCCAGGCAGCGGCTGGGATGGCGAGCAGCGGAGGCGAGGCGGTGACGAGAGCAGCGGGTCCGCCATTGGACGAGGAGGCCTGAGGGACGGGCCAGCGGTGCACAAGGAGAGACCGAGGCGGGTGGCCCCGAGAGAGCCAAGGCCATGGAGGCCAACATGTCGAAGCGGAAGGAGCCCGGCAGGTCTCTCCGCATCAAAGTCATCTCCATGGGCAACGCCGAAGTGGGGAAAGTGAGTACTGCGCGCCGGGAGGGGCGGGCCTCAGCGTGGCGGGGAGACGTGCCCATTGGCTGGAAGGGCGGCCACTCAACGGCCTGGGGCCCGGCCTCCTCTCCGCCCCCGAGCAGGCCCGGGTCTCCGCCGAGGGGTGCGGCTCCGCTAGCGAAGCTCCCCGACCTTTTTGACCTTTGCGTTGCCCCCTCGTCCTCCGACGTCACTCTCCCGGAGATGCAGTCTGGGGTGGCCTCTAGGCCTTGAATATGTCCCCCAAAGAGTAAGGAGGCCTGGGTTCCCGTGCGGGGCCGTCGGCCTAGATGCCTTGCCCGCGTTCTAGGGGGCTGTCCGGGACCGGGAAGTGGAGGATGAAAGTTGAGTTTCCCCAGCCGGGCCTGGGAGTTGGCGGAACGTCATGGGGTGCGTGTGAGAATTTGGGGTTCGCGAAATGGTGCCCGGCAGCCCAGATTCTGCATTCCCGTCACGAGAGAGCGTAACTGACGTTGATGTGTTTCACAGGGCAGGTGCCAGGGATGGCCGGGGTCCGGCGCTGTTTTGTTTTGCGTTGTGTTTTATTTCTGGTGGTGTTCCCATATCTGTTAGTTCCACCGCCCTTCTCTGCCCCATCTATGGTTCACCAGCTATAAACTCTCCTTTAGTATGCGGGAAGGTAAGGCCAGAGGTAACCTGAGGCCTTTTCCCTGACGAATTCCAAGACGGCCTTCTCTTCACCCAAATTATTTCCTTCTGGGCAAGTGGAAGCTGTTGATTAAGAACTTCCCAACGACGTCAAATCAATGACCGAGAAAAGATTAGAACCTAAGTCTTCACATTCCCACTGCGGTGCTCTTTCCATCGTTGTCAAAATCAACTCCGAAAGAGCTGTTAAGGCAGTGCTTAGGCCAGCGCCTGGCACCCAGGAGATGTTCAGTAAATGTTTACTTAGTGTTTTTTATTTCTACGTAGCATGATCCTGTACTGCCTATGTGTGTATGTGCTAGCATAGTATTCACTGAAAGTCAACATTTTTTTGAACGTCAGCTGTGTACGTGCGAGGTTTTTTGTTTGTTTTTTTAAGCCTCTAGGGACTGGGCACGGTAGCTCAGGCCTGTAATCCCAGCACTTTGGGAGGCGGAGGCGGGCGGATCACTTGAGGTCAGCAGTTCAAGATCAGCATGACCAACAAGGTGAAACCCCCGTCTCTACTAAAAATGCAAAATTAGCCAGGCATGGTGGTACACGCCTTTAATCCCAGCTACTTGGGAGGCTGACGCAGGAGAATCGCTTAAACCAGGGAGACAGAGGGTGCAGTGGGCCGAGATCGCACCTTTACACTCCAGCCTGGGCGGCAGTAAGAATCTGTCTCAAAAAAAAAAAAAAGTTATTTATTGTGTCTAATGATGCAACATTAGAAGCAGCTCAGAATGCCTGGTGTCACCATATCTATCTAACATTTTTCTAGTTTTATTAGCCAGTGCAATTAGACAAGAGTAAGAAAATACAAAAATACTAGAAAAGAGAAGGTAAAATTAACATTATTTGCTAATAATGCGATTGTTTACCTGGAAACCTAAAGAGAATTAACTGAAAAACTATTAGAAACATGAAAATTCAATAAAGCAAAGTTAATACCCACAAATTAATAACTTTATTGTGTCCAAATTATATTCAGAATTATATTGGAATTACATATTCCAAATGTGTAATTGAAAAACAATTTTAATTTACAGTTACAACAAAAACAAAGTGCCTAGGTTTAAACTTAACATGAAATAGGCAGCACCTATATGAAGACAAGTTTCAAACTCTATGAAGAGACATAAATTACTTAGGCAAATGGAAACATATGCTTTTTCCTTAGATAGGATTATGCAATATTGTATAGATGTGAATTACTCAACCTACAAATGAAATTCAATTCCAGTGAAAACATCAATAAGGGTTTTGTTTTGTTTTTTTTTTTCCAGAACATAATACAAGACTACTAAAGTCTTTTTGAAAAATTAATGTGAAAACAACAAAGAAAATTTTTTGGGAAAAAAAGGGAAATGAGAGAAGACTAACTGTTATCAGCCTTGTTAAAATATTTTTCAGGCCGGGCACAGTGGCTAACGCCTGTAATTCTAGCACTTTGGGAGGCCAAGGCAGGCGGATTGCCTGAGCTCAGGAGTTTGAGACCAGCCCGGGCAACACGGTGAAACCCCATCTCCACTAAAATACAAAAAATTAGCCAGGCATGGTGGCACATACCTGTAGTCCCAGCTACTTGGGAGGCTGAGGCAGGAGAATTGCTTGAACCTGGGAGGCGGAGGTTGCAGTGAGCTGAGATCTTGCCACTGCACTCCAGCTTGGGGACAGAGCGAGACTGTCTCTAAAAAGAAAAAAATTTTTTTATTCACAGTGATGATGGTTTTTCAACGTTCACAATTTCCACCAGAAAGGTTTTCCTTAGTGTTGGGTAAACCTTCCTTGGATGTCTGTGAGAGCTGTTTGCATGCATTCCCATATTGGTTTCTGTGATGTATAAAAGTAGACTCCCATGTTACAAATAGGAAACTATGCCGTGATACCTGAGTCTTGACATCATCACATTCACATGTTTGGTGTTGGAAGTTAAAACATGATTCCCTTTTCAAGTGTGGTTCTTGAGAGACTCAAGTACATTTTGTGACAGGCAGTAGCATCTTAAGAATTCTTAAGTCCAAGAAGGGACTTGCTCCTGATCTCCCTGAAGATCTCTACCATTTAATTAAGAAGTAGTTGTTGTTCGAAAGCATCTTGAACAGAAAGAATATAAGGATGCTAAATTCCGTCTGATTCTGATAGAGAGCCGGAGTCACCCTTTGGCTCAATATTGTAAGACCAAGTGAGTCCTCCCTCCCAATTGGAAATGAGTGATCTGCAGCCTCTGTCCTGGTCATATAAATTTGTCTATGTACTCAAGCAATGAAATGATTGTTTTATTTAAAAAAAATTTTTTTTTCAAGCTACCAAACTTTTCCCATTGGTATTGGGAAGGAAAATGGAGACATCAGTGGAACAGAGTAGAGTCCAGTAATAAACACAAATACATAAGGAAATTCATTTTACAACAAATGTAGTAAAAGTATGGGAAAATAGAGACCATTTAGTAAATATTGCTGGAACAACTATGTACTATTTGAGAGTAGGTTCGATTCCTATTACGTTCCTTTCTCAAAAATAAATTCTAGGCTGGGCACGGTGGCTCATGCCTGTAATTCCAACACTTTGGGAGGCTGAGGCGGGCAGATCACGAGGTCAGGAGATCGAGACCATCCTGGCCAACATGGTGAAACCCCATCTCTCCTAAAAATATATATATAAATAAATTCTAGATGGATAAAAGTTTTAAGTGTAACTTTTTAAAGAACTTATTATTTTGCCTTAGTGGTAAAAGTAACACATACTCATTTTAAAGCAGTTGGAAAATATAGGATGATATACAGGTAAAGCATTTTAAAGTTAAAAATTAAGGAATGCCTTAGTAATTAATCATTGGCTCAAACAGCAAATCAAAACAAATGACAAAGTAACTAGCTAGCAATGAAAAGGAGGGAATATTTGTGTATCACAGACTATTGTGCAACCATAAAAAAGTGAGTAGAGCTATTTTAAAGTTAACTTGGGAACCATAATTTGTTATTGCTAAGAGAGAAAAGCAAACTCTAGAAGTATGTGCAATACTCTATGAAGTGAGTACTTTTTACTGCAAGTAGGACAAACCCAATTCAATTGATTTAACAGGAAATTTTTTTTTTTCTCTTTTTGAGACAGCGTCTCCCTCTGCCACCCAGGCTGGAGTGCAGTGGCACCATCGTGGTTCACTGCAGCCTCTCCTCCTAGGCTCAAAAAAAAAAAAAAAAAAAGAACTAATCTAATAGATATTTGGAGATGTGGATCTCGTCTTGGCAGTGAGGTCAAGGCTAGACAGGTATGATTGAAAGCGTAAGAATAGAAGACATCTTCAAAAGAAAAGAGCACAGGATTGAGAACTCAACTGAAAACATATGCGTATTTAGTAATAAGGGAAGAATTTAAAAATAATTTTTCTTAAAATCTTTTAATACTTGTTTCAGTTATCTTATAGTTTTGTCTTTTTTTTTTTTTTTTTTAGGATAGAGTTCACTCTTACCGCCCAGGCTGGAGTGCAATGGCAGCAATCTCAGCTCACTGCAACCTCCGCCTCCCAGGTTTACACAATTCTCCTGCCTCAGCCTCCCGAGTAGCTGGGATTACAGGTGCCTGCCACCATGCCTGGCTAATTTTTATATCTTTGTAGAGAGGGGTTTTGCCATGTTGGCCAGGCTAATCTTGAACTCGTGACCTCAGGTGATCCGCCCTCCTCAGCCTCTGAAAGTGCTGAGATTACAGGTGTGAGCCACCACGGCACACCACTTTTGTCTTTTGAAAATGCTTTTTCATGGTGATGAATGGAGGAACCATAATGAAGAAATATACTTATTATGTATGTGTTCTCACTGTATATTTACTAAATGCCTGTATTTTTTACCTTTTTAGAGCTGTATTATAAAGCGATACTGTGAGAAAAGATTCGTGTCTAAATACCTGGCAACAATTGGAATTGACTATGGAGTTACAAAGTAAGTATATTGTTCCCCTGGGTTTATAAGTTACACAGAAGTTCAGAACTTTCCAAAATGATCTATATTTGCATCAGTGCACTTGTGTAGGTAATCTTGAAATGGAGACTTTGAAGATAAGTTGGGAAAGATGGGAATAGGAGACCTTTAAAGGTATCTAGTGATCATATCATTCATTCAGCCCATGTATTGGTATTGAGCGCATCCAGTTCGCCAGGCCTCATGTTAGGTGTAGGCTACAATGATGAAGATGTCAACACGAAGCCTAAATGGCAGGTGTAGCTTTCCAGGAAACATGTTTTTATATTAGCAGTTCCTTCTAGCAGGTGTGTTTTTAGAGCATTTTGAAATATTCTCTCTAAAAAGTCTATAAATATTGTGTGAAACATTTTCTACCAGAGAACTTTTTTTATTGGTTTATGATCTTCATAGCTATTAGAATCCAGCAAAAATGGGCCAGACACGGTGGCTCACACCTGTAATCCCAGCACTTTGGGAGGCCGAGGTGGGCGGATCACGAGGTCAGGAGTTCAAGACCAGCCTGACCAACATAGTGAACCCCTGTCTCTAAGAAAAATACAAAAATTAGCCAGGTGTGGTAGCACACATCTGTAGTCCCAGCTACTCAAGAGGCTGAGGCAGGAGAATCACTTGAACCTGGGAGGCAGAGGTTGTAGTGAGCCGAGACCGTGCCATTGCACTGCAGCCTGGGCAACAGTGAGACTCCATCCCAAAAAAAGAAAAAAAAAATGAACAGGTAAAAGTAAAGTTGGGTCTAATTGGGGATTTATCTGGCGATGAGTCAGGAGGGGGTTGAACTTGAAGAGTTGGATGTAATTAGCAGGAAATAGCCATACAGTAGAATTGGAGTAGGTAGCATACTCCCTAAACATGAAATTTCAGGTGTTCACTGTCTTGGCTCCATTCTGGCCTTCCCCCTTTTCTCTGTTCCGTTACACACTTTACTTTCCATCCACACTGAACTGCTACCCTCAGACTTTCTACCTCTGCATCATTATGCAGCCTGTCCACTTGGAACACCTCTGCCAATTTCTCTGAGATATAAACATTCTCCTGTTCCCTTAAGGTCTTCTAAACATGCCCTTTATTGGTCAGGACTCTTTTTGGTTGCAAATGACAGAAATCCTAAAATTCTCTATGCTATTTATGGTACTTACCAAAAATTGCCTTGTATTGTTATTGTTTGTATATGTGTAATGTCTCCTTCTAGATTATAAACTCCCTGAAAATGTATTAGTATAAATTTTCTCCAAGTGCCTGGCATAGTGCTTATACCTAATAGGTACTCAACAAATACTTATTGTTAGGTAAGATAGATACATCTAAAGAAGAAGATTGCCAGATTAGACTATGAGGGCAATTTTTAAGAAGGTAGACTAAAGTCGTGACATATAGCTAGCAGAATGTCAATTAGGTGAAGAGTGGAATCAAGTTCAGATGTATTCTTCATGGCTATTTAAAGTGGCCCCAGTAAATGGTAAAGTAAAACTCAAGAGTTCTATGTAATGCTCTTATAGCACTGTTTGCAACTGACAGCAGCAGAGGGTATTTCTGCAAATTTTCTTTAAAGAATGAAAATTGTAGCTCTTGGCAGTGAAATGTACGAAGCTCTTCATTTGAAATTCACATTTCTGGCTTGGCACAGTGGCTCACGCCTGTAATCCCAGCACTTTGGGAAGCCAAGGTGGGCGGATCACCTGAGACCAGGAGTTCGAGACCAGCCTGGCCAACATGGTGAAACCTCGTCTCTACTAAAAATACAAAAATTAGCCAGATGTGGTAGCAGGTGCCTATAATCCCAACTACTTGGGAGGCTGAGGTGGGAAAATCACTTGAACCTGGGAGGCGGTGGTTGCAGTAAGCCAAGATTACGCCACTGCACTCCAACCTGGGCAGCAGAATGAGACTCCTTCTCAAAACTAAATAAAAATAAAAATGAAATTCACATTCTTTCTTTTTTTCTCCCCTGAGACAGAGTTTCGCTCTTGTCACCCAGGCTGGAGTGCAGCGGTGCAATCTCAGCTCGGTGCAATCTCAGCTCGCTGCAACCTCAGCTCGCTGCAACCTCCGCCTCCCGGGTTTAAGCGATTCTCCTGTCTCAGCCTCCCGAGTTGCTGGGATTACAGGCACGTGCCACCACACCCAGCTAATTTTTGTATTCTTAGTAGAGACAGGGTTTCACCATGTTGGCCAGGCTGGTCTCAAACTCCTGACCTCGTGATCCGTCCACCTCGGCCTCCCAAAGTGCTGGGTTTACAGGCATGAGCCACCGCATCCAGCCTGAAATTCACCTTTCTTTCTAGTTTTCTTTTCCTCTTTCCTACTTCAAAGCATAGGATTTCATCAGTGATGTAGTAGAACATCCTGTTTAGGATAGTTCTGTTCTGAATTCATATAAGTAGCTAGTTTATTTATCTAAGATGTGAGAATTACCATATTATGCCATAGGACCGTGGTATATTCAACAGACTATTTTGTTTCTGGCAGAAATTTTTTTGGAAGAGATGTTTGTCCCATGATGAGTCAGGAGAATATAATTGACAGAAACCTATTTCAAACCAACTTAAGCAAAATAAAAGAAAAAGGATATTAATCAGTTCACATAATCTAACAACAAGGATGCAGCTGGGCCTCAGAGATGGCTGGAATCAGGGAGGGAATATAGACAGGTCATTTCACTACATCTCTCTCCCTCTCTACCTATTGGCCTGGAATAACTTTTTTTTTTTTTTTTCCGAGATGGAGTCTGGCTCTGTCGCCCAGGCTGGAGTGCAGTGGCCGGTTCTCAGCTCACTGCAAGCTCCGCCTCCCGGGTTCACAACATTCTCCTGCCTCAGCTTCCCGAGTAGCTGGGACTACAGGCGCCGCCACCTCGCCCGGCTAGTTTTTTGTATTTTTTAGAAATACATTAGAAATAATTCAAACACTAAAGAAAAACACAAGGATGAATGTTTAAAAGTTATTCCAGGCCGGGCGCGGTGGCTCAAGCCTGTAATCCCAGCACTTTGGGAGGCTGAGATGGGCGGATCACGAGGTCAGGAGATC